TGATCTTAGCCAAGTTCCACCATATATTAAGTGAATTATTCCTCAAAACACAAGAAGATCTTTTACACTAGCCTGCCCTAATGCTCTTTTGGAAGGAAGATTCTAGAATATACCTAAAGAGCTGCTGCTACCTCTGTCCCTCTGGTGAAGAAGAAATTGTAAATGTGGGTCATGTGTTACTACTGCCTTTTTAATAGAAATCTACAAGACATGTATATTTCTCCATTTACCATATGATACCCAGTCAGGTTGGAGGCTGATTACCTTAATCTTCTGCTAATTGACCAGAAGGCAGAGATTTTAGATACAGTAGTGGCCAAAATTGTGGAAACCTTTTGGGAAAAATATTTTTGAGGTTTGATGGCTAATAACACCACTTTCTTTTGGAGTAGTACCATAAAATTATATATCAATGAAAAGATAATTTAATCAAGAATGTAATACAACATAGTATTCTATTTATTATCTGTACTGTATTCTATGAAAAGTTATAGCCAAGTAACCAGAAAAAGGAAGCACAACTTGCTTAGGTTGATATCAGGTAGCTTTCCTTCATCTGATTGTAGCCAATGAGCATGAGCGTTTAGAGAGCCAATCAGGTGTCATCTTGTTTTGGCAATGAGTCAATCAGATCACAGTAGGATTCAGTTATTGATGTCATGTATTGAAGCTGAGAGGAGGACATTTGTCAGTGTGTTATGTGATCGCTATCAAGTTGGTTGGGTTTTTTTGTGTTCTTTTATTTAGTGAGCTTGTAAAACATAAAAAATTAAAATAATGGTGCAAAGAGTTGACTGGTTGCCCAGAAAGCGATGTAAAGTAGTATTATTAAGTGAACAAGGCTACAGTTATAAAGAAATTAGAAGAAAAATTGGTGGAAACTTAACCAAAGGTGGCATTTCTACTGTACACTTTTCCCAAAAGGTTTCCACAATTTTGGCTACTACTATAGGGTAGCCCAGTTTTGTGTCAGAGCTATGATCAAAGATAAATAGCTGCGCCATGTGAAGTGATGCTGAACTTTGCCTATGTTGCCATAATTCAATATATCTTATAATCCTGTCTACCTTATACAAAAGCATTCCATGTCTTATCTTGGTATTTTCTTGCTGTGGTTGGTTGGATCATAACTCTCATAATCCCAATCAAGCCCTAGTAGGGCTTCAGCAGGTACAAGGCTCAATACAGTATAAGTTGGGATAACTTTACATTCTCATAAAATCTTATACATCCTCTTTTACATCTTCTCTATATATCTATAGTTATCTATCTTAATTAAGTAAAACATTTAGACTATAGTTTGTAATTTTATAAGTTTCTATCTGACTTTAATCCATATACTTTGCAATTCTATGACAATAATTCTTAATTTTTACTTTTGTATTATTTCAGTATGATGTTTTACTTCTATTTTAGAACAATTGTTATGTTGCTTTATGTTGGTCTATGACCAAAATAAGCAATTAAATACAGAGATTAATGAATTAATTGGAAATAGTGATCACGATGTGATTCCTGTGAAACACGAGTGCACCAAGGGGGAAAAAAAAGACTACTATTAGTACATTTGATTTAAAAAGAAGTGATTTCTCTAAATAGTAAACATTTTTTTAAAAATGCTTAGAGATCTCAGTATTTTAAAAAATGTCGTCATACAAGCTAATTAGAATATTGCATATTGAAGCTAAAACTAAGATTAGAGGCTCTCTTGTGTCTAGCTTAGGACCTGGTGTTTACAGTATAGTGATCCATCCATGTAATTCTGGTGGAAGCAATGTGGAAGTCATTTGCCATTGCCTTTTTTCAAAGGTTTTTTTTTTTCCAGTTTCCCATGTGTGATTTCCTGATCCAACTAATACAGCCAAGCTCTTTGCTCAGGCAATGTTAGTTAAAAGCTACTTACAGTTAGAAGCTGCAACTAACCAGAATACTTTACAATACATTTGAAGCAAGAAAAGTTGGGGGGAGTTGGCAGGCTATCAGACAATAGATATCTACAGACAGAAATGGAATTGGAAGATGCAAGATAGTGATACAAACAGAGGTAACCAGATGAAATCATAGGCCTCCGTGACAAATCATAACTAAATAAATCCCTGGGTCCAGACAATATCCACACAAGGATACTGGGTGGACACTCAGAATCTAATACAGTAAAAACAAATGTGAAGTTGCTGATCTTCTAATGCAAACATTCAACTTTTTCCTAGAAAATATCTTTTGACTCTGAGGACTGGCAAATAAATAACCTAACCCCCTTGCATTTTTCCTAATTCTAATGCATTCTCAAATGCAGATAGTGTATTTTACTCCTGTTCAGTACTTGGGGGGGGGGGACAAAAGCATGTCATTTTCTATTTAACTTCAAGGCTGCATTTGAGTAATTCAGGTGTGCCAGATGCAGCAAAGATAGCTGAGCTAACAGATTAACTAGGGATTCTATCCACTGCTTAGAAGCAGAAAATCAGTCCAGTCTAAGATCAGGCACTGAGCCTTGCAGTTCAGAAGTAGCTGCCACAGCAGCAATGGGAGAATGGAAGTGGAGAGGGAACATCCCTGCTGCATTTGCTTCCTTGGCTGGGCAGTAGTCTAAATCTCTCCATGTTTCTTCAGAAAAAAAAACCTAGCTGGAAGAATTAAAAAAAAACACCATCAAATTCAGTCTAGGCAAGGAGTCTTGGGCTCAGGGCATATTCTCTGCAGGGTTCTGGCACTCAAGGTCTGTTTGTTGTTTTCCTGAAGGACCCAGAGTTGGGTATACTTCAAAGAAAAACTGCAGAAAAGCAGAGGAGAGTTAAATGACCTAAAATGCATCACGAGAAGTCATCAAACTCTAATTGCAGTTGGTCTGCCAATACATTTAAAATAATAATAATGAGCAGGTTAAAATAGTGTAGGTTTTACTAATACAGACTGATAAAATCTTGGTTCATAACACACCAGATATAACTGTGGTTGAAACAAAGAAAGTGTGGATAATTGATATGGCGCTATACTATACTAGGGAATAGTCAAATAAAAGACAAAGAATTGGAAAAGATAACAAAGTATCAAGATCTGAAAATAGAAATTGAGACATTATGGTGTAAACTGGCCATGGTAGTCCCAGTTGTTATTGGCACACTGGATACCATACCAAAACTACTGGATACATAATCTGTACATTGAGAAAATTACTGTCAACTGCAAAAGGCCATACTGCTTGGATCTGCACATATACTATGCTGATATATTGCAGCATCCTAGATTCTTGGAAAAAACTTAATGCGTAATAAGGCCAACACCAGCTAAATAACTTTCAGGCATAGCTTCACATTATTGGGAATAAATAATAGACACTTTGAAACATGAATTATTATAAAATTAATATATATGACATTGTTCAGTTCAAACCTTCCCTCCCCAAAAAAGAAACATATAAAAGAAAGGATGAAATTTATTTTAGTAACAAGAAAGCAAGCCCATGTTACAATTGTGTTTCTTTCAAATAAACAAGAGGGATGTTCAAATAAATAGCTATGGGATTTGTGTTCCTGCCTCATAGCTGTATTTTAGTTACCTATGCATTTTAATCTAGATGGCTGAATATTGAATATATTAGTATTGTCATCATGGCATTCTACAGACCAGTTAATTTTGCTGTAATGACAACTGAATTTGAAATGAACTTGTTTCTCAAAGATCACCCAGGAAGTTAATTTTTGAAATTGAAATCAGGATTTGTAGCAAGTAGCTTGTGTTCTTTTATAACAGTGGTTAAGAAGATGCCCTACAAAACACACATGCACTGAAATGTACTACACACTGTGAGAAATACTGGTGTGATGAAGTACCCACTTTGGCGAGATCATAGGTCAAGTAATAGAAAAGTTCTAAATGAACTCTTCTGAGCTCACAATACTTGCTTCAAATTCGAGACAGGTTGTTCCAGCATTACTGGAAGCATCCCAATACTGCTCCAGCCATTCCAGAAGTGTTTTATGCTCAATTGTTCTAATTTGTGTTCAGAATGGGGGCTTTGGATCTTGAAATGGGGATGTTTCAAGTTTCAGATTGGTTAAAACAGCACAGAGGTATTACAGAAAAGTCAGAAAAATTGTCATGAACCTGAACTAGGGTATTTTGATACCAGGGCATTCCCCCTCAGAATGTTTTGAATTCAATATATTCTTCTTGAGGCATAAATGCCAACACTTTCTATAAAGGAGAAAAATTAAGAAGCAGGTGATACAGAAGATGCCTGAAACATGGAAAAGGATAACTAGCCATTTCTATCTTTCCAGGAGATATTGCTATAGTAGCAACTATGCTAAAAGTTTTCTCTTCTGCAATTATCAGCAATATTCGGAGAACAGAGTGCAATATTATATCGTTCCTTTTCACACTTTTAGTGTTTGGATCTCCAGGAAGCCGTTTTCACACATCCTGGAGTTTATCTTTAACTAATGAAAGTAAAGCCGGTACAGTATTACTGGTAGTACCCCTGAAATCACAAAAAAGGATGATACACAGGGCAGAGGGAGATGCTATCAACCATCCTCAGGGAAACCAATAGACTTTTTTCTTTTTTTTTTTGAGTCCTTAGGATGTTGTAAACAATTTACGTTTCAAGTGCTAGCCACTGTATTTCATTGGATGGAGACAAACAGGAGAAAATCTTAAACTGAAATTAGGAGATGGGGTCATTGGGCTGAAGGCTCAGGTTTGTCCCCATTTCTCTTTCAGACCTTAGAAGTTCAGCCCCTGAAACAAGGGGTTTGTAACTCCACTTTATCTTGAGATGTTCTTTGGAAAGCAGCGGAAGAAAGAAATTGACAGAAAGTGAAGCATTGAAATCTTTGCAAATGCTGTGTTTTGCCCTTTTGGAAACCGATCCCCAAAAGCCCTCCACATCTGGATCTGTTAAAAAAAAAGTTTCCATTCGCAACTTGTTTTTTAGGCTGGTACAGCAAATAAGAGCTGGAGAACTAAAAGCAAAGGAGACTGTGGAAGGGGCTTACCTTCACTTTGCAGAAAGGGCAGATCTGCTTTTGCCCAACAGCGCCCAGAACTTGCGGGGACTCCCCTCCAAACTTCGTTTTATCTTTCTTCTGAAGTTTCTACGACTGCCCCGACTCCTTCAGCTGAGCGATTCAGTCTTGCAAAAAAGAAAAAAAAAAGGGAGAGGGAAAAAAAAATGCGTGGGGAGGGTTGTCTGAAGCTTGAAGGGGCGGGACTGGGGGGGGGGAGGAGGATGCCCAGAGCTCCCACTGCCTGACTAGAGCCTCTGGTTTGTTTTTTTATTGCCCCCCAGAGTATTCGTCACAGGATCCTAAACCGAGCCTTTTTCTCCAGCTCTGCAGCGGTTCTTTTAAAGCAACAAGAAGCCTTTGCCAGGAATGAGGTTTTGCGGTTGTTGATTTAATCCTACTTTGGGTTCAAACTTTTTGGGATCGTATTCGCAGACAGAGACAGAAAGGATGGAAAAGGGAAAGGCAAAAAAAAAAAGAGAGAGAGAGAGAGAGAAAAGAACCCTTTTGCTGCTTTTCCTTTCTGGAGGAGAGAGAGGCAAATTAGGGATCGGGGCGGAGGTGGGGGGGGGGCTAGCTTCAAGTAACTGGAACTGGGAGACGCAACAAATGTTGCAGCCCAAAGAGGCGGCAGGTCAAAAAAAAAAAAAAAACATCGCAGGGAAACGACAGAGGGAGGAAAGCTGGTGTGAACGGCCCGGATTCCCTCCTCCAAACGGAACAATCCCATCTGAATCGGTGTATGCACGTGTCGGTGCACGGTGCAGAAGACTTTTAAGGGTTGCGAGCTCTCAACCCCATCTCTCTCTCTCTGGTGTGGATGCCTGCTTTCGATTCTGGCCTCCCTCCCCCCCCCCATTCCTTCTAGCCTCCATCTTTCCCTCCTCCCTCGGTTCGCCCCTTTCTCAGGATATGAGGAAATGTTTAGAAAATCCGCGGCCGACGCCAGCCGCTGACTCATGTTTTCATTAAAGAAGGGAGGCCTCGCGCCACATGTGAGGAGCGCTGCCCGGGCGCCCGCTCCTCCTCCTCCTCCTCTGGCCCCGCCTCCGCTCCCCTCCCTCGCACCTCCTTGGCGCGGAGTGGGAAGCCTGGAGGGGCGTCCGGACCGGAGGAGGAGGAGGGGGGGGGATAGGCAGACGTAGTGGGGCTTATCGGTGGAGATAACTTCGAGTTACTGACCTGCCTTGTTCTTTGTTTGCTGGGAGGAAGGAATCGCTGTTTATCACCTTAAAAGGGTTTTTTTTTTTGGTTGTTGTTTTTGCAAAGGACACAACCAAGGGCTGGTTGACACAGAGACCCTAGGGGGGGAACGTGCGCATGTGAATCACAGTTTGCTTTCTGGGTCGATAGCTTCCCCGAATAGGGGCTGTTTAGGAGGCCCCATAAGAGCCTCCTGTACAAAAGGCCATATGGTGGGTGGGTGGGTTGTTTGAGTGTAGGCATGAAGAAAAGAAACGAGATACGGGTTTTGCTCTGTGGGCTTTTGATGAGCTCAGAACAAATTCCTCCAGGAGCCATTCTACTAGTATTTAAAAATACACCAGGCTCCAGGCCGCATTGGAGAAGGCTCCTGAGAATACTGGCCAGCCGAGAAAATAAATCAGTGGATCGTGAAAGAAATCAAGCCAGAGTTCTCACTCAAGGCACAAATGACCAGGGTCAGATGATCCTACTTTCTGAAATGTTATGTGAAGACTGGAAAAAGCTCTAATATTGGGAAAAGGCAGAAAGGAAGATAGAAAGAGAACAACCAGCAGCAAAGTGGATAGACTCAGTTACGGTGGTGAGGGGGGCACATTGGAAGAGCCAAAGGACCAGGATAGGAACAAATTGCATAGAAAAAAAGTGTGTGATCCCTGTGGGTCAACAACTGGATGATACATAATCAGCCTAAGCAAGCTCCTGTACCTGACTGAACATACTTAAGTTTGGATGATAGCCAGGAGTGAACATGGTTAATATGTGGATGGGAGATCACCAGAAATCTCAAGGACTTAAGACGGTATCCTGGAAGATGACTATAGCAAACTGTGTCCTTTTGTTGCTGAGAAAAAGCAACTGTACGTTTCTGAAGTTACCAGAGATGAGCTTTGCTCAGAGAACATGTATTAAAAACTAAGTTTTCAGGGATTCATTAATGTAATACCTTTTAAAGTAAATGTATATAGTTTGAATGTGGCAAATATGTAGAGAATTAAAAATACATGGGCATAGTATTCATAATTGTTTTGCTCAAAGTTGGGAAATTAAAAAAAATCTCAGACAATAACTTTCAGGAGCCAATTTTTTTTAAATGGTAGTGAAATATTAAAGAGTTAAGCTATGAACACTTCATAAACTCTTCCCTATACTCTCTTAAGTATCCTTGGATAGTCACCAGTAAATTAAATCAATACATTTAAAAAGCCAGTCTATTACCTTTAGTAGGATGCTATCTCATTGTCATTATTCAAATATAGTTCCACTGCCAATCCAGATGCCTTCTGCATGGGTTAAGGAAGAGAGTGCTCTTTTATCCTTGATTTCAACTGCAAAATATCTTGAGCCAGCCTGTTTAGGGCCAAACAAAAAAGTCATAAAGATATAAACACAGTTTCATGTTCTCTGAAACATAGCATATATAAATATGACTGAAAGCTATCATAGCTAATACCACTGAATTTGGCATCATTAAAGGACACATTCAGTTCTTGGAGTGTCAACATCTTTCTTGATTTCACATCTAAGCAGCAATCATATGTCTATGCTATGAATTGATCTACAAATATGGCTGAACTCCTCTAATAATACACCCCATTGAAATAAGTGGGGCTAATTTCTCAGTATTCATATTCATGCAATTTACTAAATACATTATTCTATATTCAGAGTTAACTTACTCAGTTCAGAAGTTGCACAATGCAGCCTTATTTGCCTAGGTTAGCGTAGGTGGAATTTGAGAAAACACACAGTGCTTAGCAGAGAAGCAACAGGCATAAATCTGGGTGTAATTCAAGAGGATGGCTTTTATCTATAAAGTCCTTCAAGGGCAGCTTATCTCCAATTATCTCTGATGTTGGCAAGCTCCGGGCCCCATTGCTAGCCTTAGATAATATCCTGTAATATGCTCCAGGAGACCTATCTTCTCTCTTGCTATTCCTGACCTATGAAACAACAGACCCCCCCTCCAAGATCCAGCTAGCTCTGACCCTGCCAAATTTTTAAAAGCTATTAAATACCTATTATTTTCTCCCCAGGGTCTGGGTCTGGGATTGGTATGGCAGAAGATTTTGCTTTCCCCCCAGCACTTTTGCTATTTACATGTCTTTGTTTTTGTTTTTATGTCTTTTAATTATGTGGTTCTAAAGCATTATATTGTTCTTCAATGATGAGTGCTTCCCTAAATTGTGTATTGAATGGGTGTCTATAGAAATTGTCCAGCTAAACAAAATCAGAGGTTTTTCTATCAACTTGTTTTCAGAAGCTGCTAAATGCTTGCTTGGATGCATCCTTTTTAAACTTAATGTTGGCCAGAATGACTAAAGCAAACTGAGTTTATAAATGGAGTTTAAAGCCATCACAGAGCATAGTTTAGTTTAGTTTATAGGCCATATCAAAATACAGAGTTCCAAACACAAATTATTAATAAAATCCTATATAAAAATAGTTCAAAATAAATTTGATATGTAGATAAGTAAAATAAGATAAAGTTATGTTTCGGTATCACACCTTCAATCTATCCCAATCTATCCCATATATGCCAATCTCAGCCGAATCATTTTACTCAAGTACTGAGCCCGATTAAATGTTGTTTTCAGATTCTGGGGGGTTGATATGGGGTTCCCAATGGGTCATCCGTTTAATATATGAACCAAGGTTCCTGTCTCTCTCCCTCTTATACAAACAACAATCAAAAGTATGTGAGCCATACTTCTACCTCTGCCGCTTCTACCTCTGCCTCTCTGCAAATGCAGATACATCCATCATATCTAACCATATTTAACCATTGTATCGAGCTGTTTGAATCTCGCTTGTGTAAGTATCTCCCTAAGATGTTTTGGTAATTGTAACTTTAAATAGCTGCCTGTTTGAAAAATACATTTATATTTATTCAACCATTTCAAGTTACCAGCCTTACTAAAAATAGCTATATCATTTTGTGCTTCTATGTCCATAATTCTTTGAGCAACTCTTTTTTTTAACTTGTTCTCCTGGTGCACAAGACACAGGGAGGCCACAGCTTCTTATAAAATTTGTCAGTTTAGTAATCCAAGAAGTTTGTAGTTGTGATTTTATCTGTTCTATAAACATAACTTAGGGACTCTATCAGTCCCTATCCATTTTGTTGATTTTGCACCCGTAGTTATATGCTCTGATTTTAGACAGTGGGTGAATTGCATAAATTCCCAATTCAGCTCTAATTCTTCAGAATAGAGTATATGATTGAACAGACTTACAAGTAGTCCTCACTTAACAACAGTAATTGGAATTGCAGTACTGGATTTCCATCGCTAAGCAACATGATCAGAAAGCACAGTGTGATGTGACTCCATTGCTTAGCACCAGCAATCCTGGCTCCCCTTTGCTGCTGTTAAGCAAAGATCGCAGGTCGTTATTCCAGGACCTCAAGTGACTTTGACTTGTGACTTCCTGCTGGCTTCCAACAGGCAAAGTCAATAGGAGTTGAAAGTCCTGCACCATTTTCAAGCAGGCCAACAGACAGGTGAGTGGCATGGAGTGTGGCCAGGTGAGGTAATAATAATAATAATAGTAATAGTAATAGTAATAGTAATAGTAATAGTAATAGTAATAATAGTAAAGTTGGAAGGGACCTTGGAGGTCATCTAGTCCAACCCCTGCTCAGGCAGAAAACCCTATACCATTTCGGACAAATGGCTGTCCAGTCTCTTCTTAAAAACCTCCAGTGTTGGAGCATTCACTGCTTCTGGAGGCAGGTTGTTCCACTGGTTAATTGTTCTAACTGTCAGGAAGTTTCTCCTTAGTTCTAGGTTGCTTCTCTCCTTGCTTAGTTTCCACCCGTTGCTTCTTGTCCTGCCTTCAGGCCCCTTGGAAAATAGCTTGACTCCCTCTTCTTTGTAGCAGCCCCTGAGATATTGGAACACTGCTATCATGTCCCCC